ATCATCTCGACGATCTTGAGAACTGCATTACCGACAACATACGTGAACTCGATTAATGCCGCATCAGTTATTCTACCTAAAATGGACTCATCGGTCAAACATTCAAACCACAATTTAACCGGTTGGCATGACAACAGCCATCTAAATGGAGTGGTCACCTCGTTTTAGCATCGCAGGAGGTTTTGTCTATTCTACCTGGGGGTACTTATTGGTTTCCAATCACCCTCGACGCCATCTTAATATGTGAAATTATGTGCATTTCTTGTGACAGTTTAAACAAAAAAGGCTCAAGAATGGGAATCACGCCAGGGGTGACGATCTACCCTGATACGACCCGATCGAAGAAGAGTGGAAGATGCAGGTGGCGCTTAGCTCAACTTATTTATTGACGCGACAGTGGTGTGTGTGTGTGTGTGGTGTACAAGGTAGTTAGTCAGTTTATATAGGATCGGCTGAAGATCGATCTCTACACGAACAGTGTTGCATAAAGTGCCTTCACGCAAACCAATTGAATTCATGTTCCCTCACGATTGCTGTGTCGTGTTGAGTTTCGTTTTGTAAGAGATCTTGTGAATGAAATTCCGACTTTTATCAATTAACGACCCTTCGCTGTCCAGCGCTTATGAAATTCTTCTGGCCCTTACAAGCAAATGATCCATTCGTCTATAGTGATAATCATACTATTCTCAGTGCGTGGGCTTCAAAATAAACGGTTACTGGTGTATGCTGCTATCTCGTAAAATCACGGTTTAGATTTGCTCAGTATTTACTTTGAATTGTAAATTTTAGGCAAAAATCTGCAAATGACAGTGATAATAACTCGTGACAAAGCATTCTGGTAACCACTCGGCACTTTACGTATCTCTACTATTTTCTTGTTTTGAAAGAAAGTGATTTGGTAAGCTTCAAATCATGTTAACTACAAATAAGCGGTTTTAAACAAAACCACACGCAATTTGCTCTTGAGGCGACAGGCAGTAAACTCCGAAAGGAAATGGACTTCGATCATACCAACCCCAAAAACACCTACATCATCACTTCAGCGTGACCTTCGTCTTGACAAAGCCCTTAAAAGTGACCTACGCTTAAATTTCTCTATCTAGATTTGGTTAACTTCGGCAGGTAAGGCAGACATTTCCGCTTAGTTTGTGTGCTTCCTGCCAGGGGCCTACGTGATACTGATAATCCCATATCCCATTTTTGATCCATCAAAACATTTCACTTGCTAAAAGCCTAAGAAACACCGTGTTTTAGCTCTAGTATGTGAAAAGTGTAATTAGAACCAGGTGTGAATGCAACAAGAGCTTGTCCAAATCACTATTTCTTCGATTTGAAAAAAAAAACATTTTATCAGGAATAAGTTTGAGGAACATCAGAAATTTTGCCGTTTTCGAATGCTACTTTACCGTTTGTTTAAGGCTTTTAAAACAATTGGAACCAAATGGTGCCACATTATTTGACCTGTCCTTCATCTTTCAATTTAATTTTCATGCTGATGAACCAGTGAACATTTGCTCAATCTACTAATCAGGAAAAAAGTAGTTCGCAAATATGGACGCACACGTGATGTTTTAGACAGGACAAATTAGCGGAGGAATGTAAAACGCTTGGCGAAATTCATGCATGGGGTTCATGAACGATTTGAACCGCACTGGCAAATGAGACCCAAAGAAAAAGGGAAGGAATTCGATTAGTAATTGTTTTAATACTGATTTAACCTATTTTTATGCTTTTAAATGGGTGGCTTTTTAACCAATTAATTTAGTACGAAATGTAATAATTGGACACATTTTCATTTCTGCATATAAATTGCATCTAACACACGTTGGATGGCAATTGCTTTGACTTCACTAATTTGCTTAGACGTTGAAGCGATTTCCCTGTCTGAACAAGTAACTTCGCACCGTGAATTAAAAGCAGATACTGTAGATTCAAAAAGCATGTGACAGAGAAAGTGTTCGTGTAGAATTGTTAAAAGTAGGGTTTTTGGGAGGTAATTTAACAACGTGACCTTCACCAGAAGACTAATTGCTCGCAGTTGATTGGCTAACAAACTTAATTGGGCATTAACACACGATTGGTTACAGAAGAACTTGGCTCAAAGTCAGGCCTCCTTAAACCACCACGTAATGTGTTGCTTTTTTTTAATGATTTATAACACTTTCAGACGCTAACGTGTCTCTTCTCTCTGTGGTGAGATTCAGTGCGTTGCGTGCAACTCGTTAATTACATTTCTTTTTATTGCTTTGATAAAAGGACAAACTTTTGGTGCCATGGAATTTCGAGCCAGGTTAGAATTTGACTCAGCAATTCCATGAAAATTTCGAGGTGTTTTCGCATTCTTCCTATCAAGCGTTGCTGGAGCCGCTTTATCGGATTTGGCACCTCAAGGAAAACAAGAATCGGGTTGAGCAAGTCCACATAAACAGCTGTTTCAACCCAATTACTGTCTCCATCAGCACTGAATTCTGAGGATAGATAGTTAAAGCACGTTCAATTTCACGCAACTAATTGAACTTGCTCTAACCTTAAGAATTGACGCATTTAAACAAGGCAACAGGGTTATACTATTGAATCAGCGTGGCCAATACACAGTTACGGCGCATCATAGCTTGTAATGAGTCTAATGTGCACTATTGGCAGTGATTATTAAATAAAATCGATAAGCTGAACGCACAGCTATTAGAATTTCTCGACCTTAAAAACGAACTTTTTTAACCAGTTCAAAAAGACTGATATTTTGCTCGTTCAATTTGCTTGATAGGCTTTTTTCTACAAAAATATATGCTTTAGTCAGCTCTGGCCTTCGGAAATCGAGCATGTCGATTACCTACCCGGGTCTGTTAGGAATGAGAGCTATCGGCAAATCTGAAATCGATTCTTCCTCCAGCCCCTCGATCTACTGCGACCCCAATTCATAGCATTAATTTCTCCCTTTCTCTGTGTATGCAAGGACGATGTTTATACTACTGAATTTTGGATCATGAGTACCAATTTCGTCCAGAAATTCAAAATCTACTTACAAGGTCATGAATTAATTAGGCCATAACAAAGTTCTTTAGTTCGGACGGGGTGGTAGACTGACATCGCAATCCCGGTGGCTTCTCGTGAAATTAACAACCCTTCTAAATCTGTTAAAAGCTTTTGACTTTTGCCAACTTTTAAAGTAGCCTTGATATTCAGAGATCATAACGACCAAGGTCGTAATTTGGTATGCCTGCAGCTTATACCAAAATGGCGTCTTTTGCTGTGTTCTCGTGCCACTTCCAATTGGCTACTTCTGGCGCATTCCAAATTAGCGTATTTAAAGGTGCAAATGATTAAAATTTTCATACCATGCACACGTTCTTAGCGAAATCCATTTTAGCTATTAGTATCTTAGGGCACAGAAAATCAAGCCATCATCTTGGTGGCATTTCAAAGTTAAAAGTCTTGTTCGTTTTGAGTTTGGAAGCGGAAATATGACAAAATTTATTCTGGGTGTTCATTTGGATCGTGTTTCAGCTCTTGGAACAACCTGCAAACAGTTGTGTTGACTTAAAATGCTGACTCTAATCTGTACTTTAAGCTTTGGATGCTGGCAACCGTCCTTCATCGACAAGAGGTTGGCCCATAATCGAATGCTTAAAAAGTCCACGGATTAACGCTGAGAGAACAAACTTTGAAACGCAATAAATAGGTCTTACGTGTAGTGATTCAAAAAAACCAAATAACCTATATAACCACTGAAAATTCCTTTCTTGTCCATCGACAAGATGAATTTCGAGGTCCAATTGAAATTGTAAGGAATGATGAATCGCACGCAAAAGCGGTGCTACAAAGTGCCAGATGGGATGCTGCGAAGGTGTGGCATTTATTTTGAACTTCTTTCCCTTAACCAACTGCTAGTAAGTAGAAACTCAATCTTGAACCCCTAAAATGAATTAAGATAAGAAATCTGCAGCCTCTTGCTACTGCCCTTTGTTGCGTTTTGTGTTAGATAATTCAGCCAATCACGATTGAAATCAGCTGAAGAGGTGATGAACCACCATGTGATTTTCCTCAAAACGCAATAACGCAGCTCCAAAAAGTGCTGTTTTCAATTAGGCGAAGGTAATCCTAGACATTTCTAAGAAATGTTGGGAGTACATTTCGAATTAAATATATTTCGTTTTTTATTCCTGAGCCTTAACGCAGTGATTAAACGATAATTAATCAAGGGATTTTATGTCTAAAAGATTTAATGTGAAAGTTTGCATGTGATATTAAGTTACAAGAGGGACACTTTGAAAATTGCGTTACGCCTTCATTTGCTGCAGTCATTGTTAATACGGTCGGCAATTTTTTTCCCATGAGATATTTACAGCCATGCAAGAAAGGGCTTGTTTTGCTGTTTAAAAATCAGCATTTCTCGGCAAAGTATCGAAAAAAGGAGGAAAAGATGTGTGCCTCAAGACTGTCCACATGTTCCTAAACCACTGCCAGGTTTTTTCCTCAATTGTAATTAACACAAATTTTGGTAATTCAATGTAAAAATCTTTTGCATTCAACACCAGTAATCATCAGGTTGATAATGAATTTAAGCGATACCATTAGACAGCTTGTGGTTTTTTTGATGTCTCTGAATAACTTTAAATGAGGAACTCACCTAAATTCTAACAGAGCTTGTTCACTTTCAACCATAAGTTAACGGAAATTAATTTTTCTGACAGAAGCATTTAATAATAATAATAATATTTTTTTCCGTAAATTTGTGTTTGATCAGTCTTGGGAACTATAGTTAATGGCTCTGATTACAGGGCATGAGACAGGGAACACCATGCTATGCCACATTTGGGCTAGTGCATCAGGCGCAATTAAGTATACAAGTTGCATGTTTTAAAAGCAAACTTTGTCGCTTCTAAAAATGTTTGGATGTACTTCTGACTACTAAATTCAAGTTCAAATTAGGGCCAATTATAAGGCTCCAAGTTATTTAAAATATACCCTTAGCAGAGATTTGACATTATTTCATAAGCCAAATGATTTCTGGGGAATATCTAGGTTTGAGGTCTGTGGTGAATGATGCATGGATTTTTTCACTATAGGCTAAGTCTAGTTTTTTTTTAAAAAAATGGATTTGTCAGAATTTTAACTAAATTTAAACACAGGTCTCACCGGAGTAAAAACTCATTTAAGTGGCTTCTCACGTTTAGGGACTACAAGTTATCATTTAACATTAAACCAACAAGTATAGATGAGCCTCGGTTTTGCACTTAGTTGCTTTTTTTTAGGTAGCTCGAATAATTTAGAGTGAACTTAATTAAAGGTAGATGAATACTGACAACAACAAACATTTAAATGTGATTTCCTAAAGAATGCAGACTAACTCCAAGCTGTTAATCCTTTATTAATAAATGCGTTCACGCCTTGTAGATTTTTTTGGAAAATTTAAATGCCTCATAACTTTTGAAAAAATAAAATTAGCACTATTTCTTGAAGGCAAAACATTTATATTAATTTGCCGAAAAAGCAAATAAATATTAAATTAAAAGCAAAAATGTTTTTAAATTTTATAAATACCCTACGTAGTACAATTCTAAAAGCTTACACAGTGACGCAGCAGTGATGCCACATTCATTAAATTGTGATAAAAAGTCACGTTATTTTTTAAACCCACTACACCCAGTTCGTTAAAGTTCAATTTGCGTAAAGCCTCAACTTCGTAACGTCGCATATTTTGACATTGGTTAATAAAAGGGCTCGGGGGGTTGCACTTTATTATTATTATTGTTGTTGCTTTTTTCGCAGAAAAGGTTGCTGTCAAGATAATTGACAAGACGAAGACCGACGCAGCTGCTCGGCGCCTTATCTTCAGGGAGGTGGCGGTGCTCGACAGGCTTCACCACCCAAACATTATCCGGCTCTACGAGGCAAGTGCATTCTAACTTCAGGGCGTGCGCAGCGCTAATTACGCAGTTGTTGTCATTGTTGTTGTTAATGTCAAAAACACATCGTCCTGTGGCAGTTCAAATTGTGCTTCTAGATTGTTACGACTCCCCCAGTACACGCTTCAATACCTTGAGCACGAATAATCGATCCCTTGTAGGCCTTTTGACCGAAGCAAATGGTGAATTCAAAGTTTAATGGGCCAATAGGAAGAGGGCGGCAGATATGAATGCTAAAGTTGATGTGCATAAACCGCAGCTGGTAGTGTACAAGATAATGCTGAAAAATCCTGATGCTTACACTTAATTAGGCAAAAAAAATAAACCGAAACATTGCTAAAAGTGTTTTGCAAAAAGAATAAAATAAATTTTATAAAATTAAGTAGGTACTACTTGAAATATGACAGAAATTTTAAAATAAGCTATATCAACTAAGGTCTTTTGTCATAACTAAAACCCGCAAAGAGCCGAAAAAAATTGTTTTATTCACATATATTTATTTATTTTGGAGAATTTTAAAGATGTGTTTTGTGGAATTAGCACAATTAAGTTGTCATCTAAAATCAACAATCTAGTGGTAATCAAAATCCGTTGATTAGATTCGAACTAAGCGCAACTTGCACCATTTCAAGAATTTGTAAAAAAAACTAAATGTCTTCTTTTATTTCAGTTTACAAAACCTCTTAATTGTTAATCATGGAACCTCTTAGTTTTTTAATTGTGGAATTTTTATCTTAGCTTTTTAGTTTGCTGATATTTTCGATAATTTGGTGGTTTAACAGTATGAAGATAGATAAATTTTTCGCCATGTTTGAGCACATAAAGTAGGGGGATCGCTTAGGAAAATTTACATCGTTGGCACGAAAAGACTTTGCCAACCCCACTCCCATTTGCCCGAAGGTGATCGAGTCGCTGACGCGACTGAACATCGTGATGGAGTATGCCGCTGGCGGCGACATGGAGAGGCGCATCCAAAAGAAGGGCGCTTTCAACGATTCCGAGGGAAAATTAATCTTCGCGCAGTTAGTCTCAGCAATCAGGCACCTGGTAAGGTTTTGCTGTGAATCGTGTTTATTCAACCCCTTAATCCAGTCGCTCCACCTCAGACACAGGGTTCCCCTTTCCGCAGCATGTTGCCAGCCGCGCGGATCCTCAACTCCCCCCTCATTCGCACGATCGATTATTTTGGATTATCCCCACATCCGAGGTATAAATACACACGCGCAAACCCCACACATGACACAACGACACCAACGTGGTTGAGCTCTGAAGTGAACGATTGTGTCCGCGCCAACCCTCCCGATCTTTTTCTTCATCGTGGGCATCAGGGAAGCGTAATTGGGCCAGGGCTAATTCCATGGCCCCGGCTTGGTTTAAGACCACATGCTGGGGCCCACACCAGTTTAAATTAACTGACCCAGTACCTACTAACACAAAAGAGTAATGGGCGTAGCGCAGCTAAGTGTTTTCATGTTCTTTTCTTTTAAACATTTGAATTCAGATCCATAGATACTTTAATCAATGAGCATAATTTTTTTTTAAACCAATCAAATTTGCTGGAAATGAACATGTCGTCAGCCAGGAATTAGGTTGCCGTCAATACTGCGTGACAGCAAATAGGTTGATCGAAGCAACAAGACTGAATTGATAGAAAAACGTTATTTACCATCGCCTTCCTTTTCGAAAAGTTTTTTTTTAAAAAATACGTTATCTGTCTTACGCTTTTGAATTGTTGTATCGTTTGGTGATGTAGCATGAGCACAACATAGTTCACCGTGACATCAAGGCGGAGAACGTCTTCTTCTCTATGCGTTCGCCGATTGTCGATCCAGAGGGGGGTCAGACCAACCACCGCTTGGTTTCTGGAAGGTATCCGTGGGAGTGCGGAAGCAGCTACTCCACTTCGTCAACTTCGACGACACGCCGTCAAGGTCATCGGAGCGACACTATCTCCAAGTCCAGTAGAGCATCTTCGGGGGAATCCCAACACGGTACTCAGCTAGTTTTGACTGATCGATTGACGCACTGTTGCAGTCATTTGAGCACACGTATTTCTAGCCAATAGAGTTTGAGGGAGATCTACTCAGGGTGTCTCCTAACTTGGTACTTAATTTGCATTACAGCCGAGTCCAATCAGTCGCTGCTGTATTCTCCCAACTTTTACCGAGTTAAAATCGGTGATTTTGGGTTCAGTAAGACAATCAACAACTCTGACCAGCAACTAACAACATTCTGCGGTTCCCCACCGTATGCCGCACCCGAGCTCTTCAACTCCTCATCGTAAGTAAAAACACATCTACTATAAAATACAAAGTAGCAATGTCATCGAATTTTAATGGATAGCGAGAAAAGAGATTCAGGGTTCAAAACAATACAACATTACTATTTCGCTTTAATTTCTCCTGTATTACTTGAATTGACTTGACGCCACTTGGCAAAAAGATTATATGAAAACATAATTTTGATAAATTGATTCGAAAAAAATTGTTTAATCATTTTATCCTTATTTAATGAGCATTTAATTGGCTCCTCCATGACCTTAGTCGTGTTCGAGGTCATTTAACTGTAACGCGATTCGTCTAAATTGAATCTCACAGTGCCATTGTACTCGCCATATTTATATAAACAGGCATTAAAAAATGTTAATCCATATTCTTTACAAGACAACGAACTATGTTAAGCTATTTGCATTTTAATTGCAATTTTCCGGAACCATTACTTAGAGAAAAGGATTACAATTAGTAACAAATCCAATTTATTATCTTTCAAAAAAATGCTTTTGTTTAAATGGGTTAGAATAGTTTAAGAGGGTCATCTACTTGGGACTACCTGAAGGTCAGTTGAAGGTCATTGGTTAGAAGAGACCAACTATTCAGAAATCGTCAATTCTCCGGCTGACGTGTTTAAAGTCAATAACTACCACAACTCGTCTTGTAAATGTCGAGTTATTTCAACCTATTCAAAGCAAGAGAAGCACCCGCACAAGTTACTTCATGTTTTTATTAAATTAAAAAGATAATTTTTTTTTAATTTAAACGCGAAATTTATTATTTGGTAAGCTGGTGCTTTAAAAATGGTAAATTTCATTTGAAAACATTGAAATCCGGGAGGTGACGGTTTTGTTTTTTTTAAGTCAATGATTCCACTTTTTTCCGTAACAGGACTTAGTATGACTTTGTTTATAAATTGCTTTGCCAAAAAGGTACAGCGTTAGGACCACAGCACAAATCGTTTTATAATTGTCAGTAAAATTGATTCCAAAATTTAATATGTGTATACAAATTAAGTTAAATTGGTTTTTTACGAATTTCGGCACATTCTCTGTTTCCCTGGCTTATGCTGCACCCGATCTTTTCAATTCCTCATTACGTGCAAATATTTCTACTGTAATTAATAAGTAGAAATGTGATTGAATTTTCAATAATACGCCTGCTGATAATCCTGCCTCAGCCGACGCCGCAAAAATTTACCTGTGAAGCGGACAACATGCATTATTTCGACAACATGCATTTAAAAATTAATTCTTTTAAATCAGATTTTCATGCATTAATTTAACTGGTCTAAATACACTCGGAAAAATGTCCATGTCAATAAAGTTATAATTATATTTTTTTTTCTGGCAACTCCACTTACTTATTTTTAAAATTGTTTTTGTCCTCATTTTGATTAGCTGTTTTTGACTAGCTTACTTGGAACTTATTTTCGTTCAAGTTTATTTGGCAGAAGGTTAATATAGCCATGCTATTAGTCATTTCAAGGTCATTGGTCCGAAGGGACTAATCAAAACGTGCCATCCAAACCTGCATTTCAGGTCAATCAAATATTGGACTTGTCGTTGCCTGACGCATTTTCTGCTAGCATCAATGCCAAACAGCCATTTAAATGTCCAATTATTCCAGCAAAACCGCTACTTAAAAATTTACATTTCTCAAAAGCTTGTTGCCTGTTGATAGTGAGAAAAAATACGATTGGCTCATCACCTGCACTCCAACGACAACTGATGGCACAGAGCAGAGCCAAAATAGTTTTAAATTTAAAAACAAAGCGCCCTCTTTGGTTGGCTGGTGATTTCGAACCAATTTCGATCATCTGTAAACGTCGAGACTTGGAAACTAACATTGTCGTTTTCTTGACACGCTGATTTGATTTTCGTTTTTAATTGTTAAAGCCAACTATTTGGACACTAAAATGACCTGTAGCGGTCGATCCGGTTGCTTTTTTTCCAGACCCTGAAGATTGTAGCGGATTAACAGCGATAGCGCCTCAGTGAACCCTGGTTACCGACCTGACGGTGACAATGACTCATCCGCTCTCCCATTGGTTGCTGTTATCAGACGCCTGTCATCCGTTCACTCATCCACTCACTAAGCAACACTTGGGCGGCGTGACGCTAATAAACGGTCGTGTCCTCTGTCGCCTCTTTTGCCACTCTTCTCGGTTTGTTACCGGTTGTAAGGTGGTGCTAGACCGCAAGCCACTACAAACCTACTAATGGGCAGCGGCATATTTAGAAATTCGTACTCGGAACTAGCTGGCTCTCTTATGGGATTACGGAATTCCTTATGACATATAACAAAAAGCAACGCCTGGAACACATCACAAATGGGGCTTTGAATTTCGCAGGATTCGTTAATGAGCTACATTCGCTATTCGCTGATTTCCACCAAGTTAGAATACGCTGTATTTAAAAAGACAACATAAAAGCCACAAAACAAGTCATTTCACTGTAGTTTGAAGGACCGATTATCAAATTTACAAAGGTTGTGAAAATGTGGTCACGAATTTTTGGCCTACAATGAATCTTGCTTCCGCTTTCAGGTACCTGGGTCCGCCGGTGGACATGTGGGCCATGGGGGTGCTGCTCTACTACATGCTGGTGGGGTGTCTGCCCTTCCGCGGTCGCACGGTCACCCAGCTGCGCAAGGCCATTCTGGAGGGGACCGCGGGAGGGGGTCTGGTGCACGTGCCCCCTCGCGTCTCGCAAGGCGCCGCCGCCCTCATCCGCAAACTGCTCTCGCGCAACCCCAAGACCCGTCCGAGGGCCGCCAAACTCATAGAGGAGGCCACGCGAGTCGCGTCGCCCCTTCGACCCCTCTCGGTCGATCGTCTGGTGGCGACGGGGGGCAATTACTGCTGGCGACGCACTCAGCCCTGGCTGGCCAAACAAGTGTTCCCAGCTGAATACCCCAGATTCAGCATGCAGCCCGGCGTGAGTTGTGGTCTGTGTGAACCAGGACACTGTTAGTTCAATCTGATTGGTTACCGGCTTCCTAGCACTAGCACAGACACATAACACGGATGAGTTGTCGTCCAGTACGCGCTTGGTCATGTGGCCCGCCAATGGGAAGAGGGCGGCTGATTCAAATACACAAAGTAGTGTGGATAAACACAAGTAGGAGAAAAAATAGAATACTGTGAAAAATAATGAAAATACGACCCGTAGTACCTCCAAAGCCTTTCGGCTATCGCCTAATAATGTGGCGAAAGGCACAATTTGGTTTATTGAGAAGGGAATGTGCATTTCTTCCACTTTCCAATCCAAAATTTTTTTTACGAGAATCCTCTCGGTAAATTAAGTAAATTCATAACGGTTTGATGCGCTGATTGTCTGCTGAATTTTGTGCCTTTTTCGAGTCAGCTGATGGCATTGTGGCTCATAACTGATGCGAGCATTGTGTAAATCCACTGTTGACAGGTGACTGTGTTGTGTTTAAAAGATGAAGAGAATATATTTAATGAATTGTAAATTAGTTCATCATTTTTAACAATTTCCTTGTGTTACAAATGGCCTTTAAGTCGGCCTGATTGTCCTTCTATACTCGAAAACGAGAATGACTTGGGATTTTGTTACTACGATTGTCTGCACAGGTCCCAATTAATTTGTCTACTTAATCATACACAGAAGGAGTGTTATTCCAATATTTCAATAGCTTGAGACGTGTGGTGTGTTTTGCGAACAACGTTCTTAGCAAAATATAACGCTCAACTTTCTTGGATGTGACTAGCACCCTGAAAGCTCCGATTTTGTGGGTCCCAACCTAGGTGTAGCAGCAATTTCTTTTTTAAATGCAACCTTTATTGATTGTTTAAATTGATCGATATAGATACCTCTAAATTTACTCATTACTACTTAATTGAGCCTTGACGTTACTTTTCCACCAGAATTCTAGACCAGCTGTTGTGTTGTTTAATAATGAATCCCAAGTTTAATTCTCATTACTGGCTTTCATTCACTTCTTTGTGCTGCAAACAAAATCACGTGTTTTCTGATGCAGGTGATTGGATGATCAGAATGAGCCCTCAGCCAATAGCGTTAGCGGATGCAAATATTTCTTGTTGATTAGCTGAAATTCCCTTTCTGCAAAGTTAATAGATTGAAACAGAATGGGACGTAAATATCAGTCAATAAAAGATTAATATTGTTGTAATTTTTTTAAGCAAATCGCTGTCCCATTTTCACTGATCCTGATTGATTTGAATTCGCTACCAGTCAAAAATACAACGAGCAAGCAATTTAACTTGACGCTGGTAAAGCTCTTGTGTCATGTTCCAAATCATGATGGCACAGAGCAAAAATAATGATTTCATTGTTAATACCCATTGGCATCAATGGCCAATGACCAGGCTTCATTGCCCAACTCACGCACTGATTGGCCTTTGATTCGTGACAATCCTATCATACGTCTAAAGGTCAGTGTTTTTTTAAAAAAAATTTATCTTACTGGTTAGCCAAAATAGCTGGAGGTTTGAGATTTTAATCATACAAGCAGCCTTCGCTCCAATCAGGAGCTGTGAATTTCCATTTATTCATCAAGTTGAATGGCAATTTTGAGGAAAATCTTTAGCCCAGTAGATGTTGCTACGGTGCACCGTATTTTAACGTGTGAGACCCTCAAATTAAATCTGGCTTTGTCTTAACAATGATCGTGCTTGGATGATTTACTGCAGGCAACACACTTGAATTGACGTGTCAGTAAAAACCCTGAGAAATGGGCAAATTTTCACTCGATTAAATGGCATTTTATTAAGGTTTGTGGAGCATTATACCAACAAGCAAACACGAAATTTGCCTACGTTTTTCCTCCATGTTCAAACTGCAAATTCGTGTGGCTAATATTTACAGTTATTGTCCACCGTTGACTTACGCTGGATTACAGATTGAATTTGCAAACCAGAACACGTTTGATGCGCAGCCCTCTTATCATACTTCCATACAATCCCTGTCAAATAGGGACATCTACACCTTTTACTATTTGCGTAGAAGGTGTCGATGCGATGACCGGGAAACTAAATGACAAGAAATTCGGTTAAATTTACTTCAATGGAAAACATTTTGGTTGCGCATGCTGTTCTTTTATAGAAAAAAATCAAATTTGAGAAGATTAATAACCTCCGAGTAGGGGTGTAATTTAAAAGGCCTTCTTTAGGCACAGTCTTTTCGAAAGGGAAAATTACAAAGAAGGGTTTGTTCGTTTGTGATCTGGCTTATCTCTGGGAGCACATAATTGTGCCTAATTACAAAGGCATGACGCACACATCTTGCAAATGGCAGTGTCGTCACGATAACCGCCCAGTCGCAAGCGTAATTGTTGTGCTCAAGGTGAAATTTAAGACGGACGGTCAGAAATTCCTTTGAAATTGAAATAATGAGTTAATCGAGCATACTAGACCGCCAATCGTTGTTGCTTCGCGCGACCTTGAACGCCTCAAATCTACCAATTAAATTGAATTGGAGTTGCGTTTGGAATTATCCACAGGTAGCAACCACAAAAATAGTCCACGGTAGTCACACATCAAACCAAGAGTCTCATAAATAACGTTGTTTAAATAAAGTCATCAATATTCGTCACCTGTTGTTACTAAAGCCTTTTCAACGCAGGCCAGACAGACAGGTATTCAATTGTGAAAGGTCCGACCTTGAGAAAGAATAAGTGCCATTGGTTTCTGTTGCTATGCTCGTGACCACACATGCGCGGGGACGGTCGCAATTGGTGGAGGTAAATAGTCCAGAGTATGCAAATTTGTGCCTGCTTGAGCTAAGTGAACGAGCATGCATGTGAAGGTCTCGGGTTATGACAAGCCCCGTCTGGTCCCACTTAACCTCGGATGCAATCAAAACACCAAGCAAATGACCTTAATTCTTTAATTTCAAATCGATTTAAAATATTTTTTTTTCAAATTTATTTATTTTCCTAACATCTTTTATTCAGGAGAGGATATTTCCTTTCTTGGTGTTTTTCATCTCATCTGTACGGACCGTCAGGTTCAATAGTAGGAAATAATAAAAAAAGTCAAACAGATAAGGTGCTTTTATGACTACTTAAATAAAAATATCCTTTTCTTCGGCCGTTTCGGAATTTCCGATAACAAAATTGACCTCCAGCTAGCTGTATCGTCAGCTTTTAAGGCATTGGCTCACGCAAGCATCTTTCAGAATATGGAGAACTAAATTGTATTCGGTTCTTCAAAAGGCCACATTGTTAAAGCCGATTTTGTGCATGACAAAGTATCCAGACCATTGTTCCTCTCAAAGATTTGGTGTGAAAATACTTCGCGATGACCTGGTAAAAACTAATGGTCTACGCTTACATTAAGAAACATGAATTTGAACGCCGTGAAAAGAAGTCTACATTATACAGCAACTCTGTAAGGAGTGTTTCGCCTTCAAATGTGCGCAAACGTTTTCCAAAATGGCGAAAACTTGTGTCTAATCGTAGGCTCAGAGTTGAGCGAATACATGCGCTAAAGAAAGCGATCCGGCTCAATTGGTTGCCAGAACACCCTCAAATTTTGATTTTTCCAATTACTTTTAACTCACTCGGTATTGTATCTTCACTCGTGACCTGTTAGATGAATAGGTATTTCAAATTGTTAGAAGTGTTCATGCACCAGTGCCGGTGAATGTGACTTGTCGGGACGTGGACATTCCCGAGGACAACTAAATTGACAGTGTGATTTGTGACTGTAGGATAACTCAATTGCACTTCTACAGTCAAGCCACACCCTTGTTCACACTAACAATCCATTCTGGATCGCCCAGACAACATTTGACCGTCCACGTCACTTCCAATTGGATGACCGCTTTTGGCCCCATCTTGTACTCGATCCTTCGACGTGTGCCAAACAAGGGGTTTGCATTACAACACCACATAAAAACGTTACACGTCTAGATGGTTCATTTAACTGTTCATGGGTTTTCACTCATATGGTTAAAAAGGTCATATTGCTAACGATCAGTCTGCAATGTTTAGAATGAGAGCTTATATAGCTATGGACTGTTGGTAAGAATAGTTTGGCGGTTTTTATGAACGGTCGGTTTACCGGAGCCTGGGAAACAAAAAAATTGCTTTCGTTAATTTTGAAATTGGTGACTTTCTCACAGAAAAACTAACGAACAAGTTAGATGTCACAAAGGCACACACCCACAAACAAGTAACCCTTGCAACTCACAAAAAACATGCAATTACAAAGACTTCAAAGTCACATACCGCTTTGTGATGGGTCTATCTGCCTGCATCTTCTTTTTTTAACAAGGTTTGTGGTTTTGGGACCCATAGACAAAGGGTAATGCCGCAAACCGATTATTGCCGCATTAGTAGGCACGAAATTTGGCTTTGCTGTTTACTCCATGTTCAAATTAAGAGATCGAGTGGCTAATAACACAATGTTTATGTTAGTTGTACATCTCATGTTCACCTTGTTTATTTGCAAATAGACAAGTAAGGAGAGTCAAATGTAGATGGCGAAATTGGGCAAATAAATGCCATTGCTTAAGTGAATGTTTTTAATAACAGAGTGGAGTACAAAAATCACTGTAAGTAAAGTTTAATCACGCGAAAGAGCTCTTAAAATCTGGAGTGAGTTCCACGTGCTCTCTCTTTAACGCTCACAACACGAAAGGTGTCCTCATCCGTGCTTTCATTTCAAGAGAGACGCAGACAGCGCATACCTGATTGAACTAGACTTCATTTAGCGAAATGAATTGTTGTTTATGCACGTTTGGCACTTGCTCTTTACTCTGCAATCATGGATTTAGCGTCTTAAGCAACATGATCTGGCTATTACGAGGTTAAAACCAGCGAATCTAGATTCTGCAGTGGTTGTGAAGCGCATTTTCTAAAAAAATTGATGCAGCATTTCCTTGTACTTCTCCAAATGCCTGCAGTCGGGAATTAGAGCCCATTTTTTTAAAAATACCCTGGTTTCTTTTATTTTGGGTCATTTTTATAAATTATTTTTTTCCGACAAAAAAAGAGGTTTTGTTATTCTAACAACAGATTGGCTAGGGCCACCAATGCACTTGAGTCAAGATTTTTGAGCACTATATTGACACCAACATTTAAACAATGCCTTTTTGAAATTGTAACGCGTTAATCTCCATTTGGGAGCTTGGGAATTGACGAATGAAATTCGCGTTTTGAAGGGCATTATCCGGCATCAATTTCATTTGTGTTTGATGAGTTGGGGGATTAATAGCAACCTTTTCCTTCTCTAGTCCCTGGACGCGTGCTCAGCCCTCGCCGACGCCAGCAAAAGGGCTTCCCGAATCCTCCTAAGCCCCTCCTTGATGCCCGCTGGCAAGAGGCCTGAGGTGGCTCACGAGACCTCCCTGTCAACACGGACGTCGGCGTCTGGTCATCTGGACGTGAATCCCGGGGTCGCAATCACCAACGCCAAGTCGACTACTGACCTCAACGAACGCGTCAACACGAGGATGATGAGTGCGTCGGAGGACGTGATTGCCCAGTCAGAGGTCGAGGCGGCCAGGCTGCTTCTCCAGCTCGGCATCGCCTCAGATCGTCTCGGTGACCATAGAAACAGCGACGCCCGAAGTTCCATCACCGGCGCCTACCGCATCATGCTGCACCAGCTGCAAAGGTAAGTTCAGCGCCACTTACCATTAGTTAGTGGCCTAAAGCTAGCTCACCTCCAAACACGTTTCACCCAAGTTATCTTCGGAGATATTCGCAACGGTTTCACGCCCATTCCGAGTTGGATGATGAACATGCAAAACTATGCAGATATATTTTAAGCCCGAAAATAGTTTATTTTAGATCTCTTGTTATTACGAAGAGGGGAACAGGGCACACACTTTGGCATTCGTTCCCAAACAAAATGCAAAACGTATAATTATCGCAATGTTCTATTTTTGTAAGACAAGTTAAAAAGAATGAAGGCTTTGGATATGTAAATGCTAAAATAGCACAAATGCTAGTTAGGGCGTGGACGTTTCTGCAAGAAACAGTTAAAAACAGAATGCAAACACGCAAATGTTTGCAGTCCTGAATCAATGTCTTTTGTTTGGTTGCATTTGCGGGTGAATAATCAGGCTAGGAAGTTGGGCTATTAGCCCATCTCAGGTGAGAAAAAACGGCAATTCGAGTTTCCATACACATGGGAGCCCGCGTGCAATTCCTACTCACCAAACCAAGATTCGTTGTACGATACTTCAGTGTCCTGCTAACAAACTTCCACCTCTATGGTGAATTCTAATTACCAGCGGTGTTTGAATAAGCTTAGGGTTACGGCGCCTCAAAATATGCCCTCTTATAATGGACGTGTGGATAATTGTGAATTGAATATAAGTTGTCGTTTTTAGACGTTACTTCTATTGCACCAATTGAGTCCCCATTAATTGGCTTGAATAATTCGCAGAAATACCTATCAAACACTAATTTCTAAAAGTAATGTTTGGAATAAACGTTTGCTTAAAGCCTCACGCTTTAAGGACCAGCGCGAGTTTTATCCCAACCAAACATGAACGAAAACAGCATTTTCATAATCTTGCTTTTTTTGTCAAGAAAAAAAAATAATTTGAATCTTTCCACTGCGGCAACTAGCATACCTAGGGGCAGTTAATTGTCGATCCCATTTAACCCTAGAATTGCTAAAAGTAACAGTGCTTCAAAGTACGCCTGCTTAAAATGGACGTGTGGATAAGACAAAGTGGTGTTTTTATTTAGTTGCATTAATAAATGGAAATCAATTTTAACTTGTCATTCTTAGAACCTGCGTCCACGGGGTTAAATCAGAGTCATTTTAGTACAATTAAATCTACTCTTTTGCTGGGTGTAGACATGTACTGACGACATGCGTAGATGCTGCCGCACACTGGTTTCTGTTATTTTGTGATAACTGGGTGTTTACAACCAAATGATTTTTTGAAACCAAACTAGGATGTCAAGATATCTTTTAAATTCTACTTCTCTGCTCCGAGGATAACAAAACATATCTTAGATCTCTTCAGGGCGACAACTAGCGAGACCACGAGGATCATTTTGCTCTAAGACGACACACGTCGGTCCCTATAATTAAACATGTTTGAAGGAAAAATGTAGTGTTATGATGAGAAAATTGGGATGTTGACTTGGATCGAAGCGAGTTCCCACCATGTGGAGAATGTTTACACAGATTGTTGATCTTCTTATCAGTTTATGTCTACAAGACCTCGCAAAATGTGCAGGGTTCCCGTTAAAAATTTATTCTAAAGTATTCTTTAGAATTTCATCCTTTTCTTCTATGTTTTAATGAGGATTAAAATTAATGGCTTGTTTCAAATAAACGTGGCCTCAAAATTCTATTTATTAAAACGATTTGAGCCACATATCTTACTTTCATAGTACATTTTTATAATAATTTCTCAGAGATAGGCTATACTTAATTCGTTGTAAAAGTTATTAGTCAATGTAAAAGCAATACGGTGTCTCGGGAGGGTGATTTGTTAATTCAAGTCATTTTTGATAGCTATTTAATTTGGGGTGTTTATTAGTGAAGTCCTTATACTGTAGGCTGGTTGTTGTCTTAGCCTATTAATAGGCAAACATTTGTGACATTCTGAACCCCTGTTGCAGGCGTAAGTTGTTTGAGAGCCTTTTTGCAAATTAACACGAGTGCAATTGCCTTCATTCATTCCACCGCACTGGATACCAACACTTGCCAGAACTTACATTAAAAAAGTACAAAATGTCAATCTGATCCTAATGATTCCCCAAAGTCTACTTCCTCACAAACCATTCAGGAACTGGAACAGTGTGATCTCGCTAAGCATTTTCAGCTCGTAACTGTGCGGAGATGCAGTTGGTCTTAGGTCCCAACTAAGTTACCCTTAAAAATGCTGATTTCTAAAGCGTACGATGATGAATGGTTAACGTAAATATCACGCACGATATGGATATTTCAAGTGGGGACAATAAAAAAACTACAGGTAATTGGGCTTTTTTTAAGTAACTAGAAATGAACCCACCCACTTGCAGATTTCTCAAAGCACGCTTGAATAATAAGAATTTAGTTGAAATAACCCCGTCTTTCCTTTTTTGCAAGATGTCGGAGATTGAGCAATCTTCCGCCGTTCCAAGACGACGGCACCGAGTCGGGAATCAGCACGGAAACTCCAGCCAGCCAGGGAACGTCGTCAAAGCCACGAATGAAGAAGTCGCCCTCTGATATTCCCTACCAAGGACCTAGCAAACACGACAAATCTTGTAGTGTGATGTAAAAAAACAGTAAACACTGTTTTTGAAATTTGCACATTGATTTCCGATAATCAATTTGTTAGTTTTTTAGGTGTCAAAAAGCCGTTTTATTAGGAGTTAAACTTAAAGAACAAACCGTTTGCCTCACGCAACAAAGGATTTTAAAAAAACTAAAGCACATAGACTTTATCGAAAATCAAGCGCCTTCATTGCCGAGACCTCCACAAACACTTTCTGATCTGTTAGCTTCCATAAATTTGGCAGTTCTGTGGGGCGTAAAGTGTAATCTACACTACACTACGGCTACATGCATATTTTGTCTACAATGGGCAAAATTTAATGTAAACCAAATAGGGAAACAATATGAAAGTATTATTTTAGAAATACATCGACTAATCTTCTTTACCAGCTGTCAGGTTGTCAGGCTTTAATATTGCCAGTTCTGTGTTTAAGTCGATATAGCAAATGAGGCAAGTATCAGTCAGTGACATGTTGTTACCCTAACGCAAACCACCGGTGAAAGCACTGACCGTCGTTGGGATTTCGCGTTCCAAATCAAATACATTCATGCACCGCCAATGCAGATGCCACTGCTGCTACTGCTGGTGGTGGTGGTGGTGGCGTTTCTAGTGCGAGGACTGCGGCATTTCTAAGATTAATATAAATGTTCCGATTGTTGCTGTTATGCGGAAGCCACATGCAGACCAGTTTATGGCTGCCGAAAATGCTGATTCAACATAAAATTTTAATATTCTGGCAAGATTTTAATTCAAAGACCTCCAGCACTGTAGTCTTTGCTGTAAACTTAGGGCTATTTATTGCTCTAAAAGGTGCCAAGTATTAACGTATAAACACATCGAAAACTTAAAAACTACCCGCAATGGGCTGACCATTACTGTTAGAGAATTTCGTACAAAGGCTCCTGAAATTTCTGGCCTTCCAAGGAAACTAAATAGCTTTCATCTTGGCCACTTCATTAATTTATCGATTTACTTTTTATATTTGGTTTTTGTCTTCAATTACTGACTTGAAACGCAAGTAAAGCCTTTGCGGTTTTTTCAAGTGCTTGTGGCCGCAAATAGTAGCTTAGCTAAAATCAGCAGAAGTAGTTTTACCTTAAAAGGGTTTAATTATCGATGGTTTCAGAAGGTTTTGTTGTTTGCGTCGCAAGTTATTATATAAAATGTCTATGTTTAAATTTGTGTGGTAAACATGAAGTGAAATAGGTGTTTGATTGCATATTACAAGCATTTTTGAGGGAAAGCTCAAACGTACACATTATTTTATAAATGGAAACATAAGACAAGCCCCAGGATTGCCAGAAACGCATATTTCTTCGCCAGAAGTGTGAGATAACACGCGACACCAAACAGAGAAACAGGTTGCAGTAAATAATCTTCTGCGAGTTTATGGCATCGTAAAATAAGGCGCAAGAATGAACCCCCACTACATCATGCGACATATCATACAGCATTCTGGTTTCATGCTTATGATTAGTGCCAAGTAAGGCCTTAAGGACACATGTTAATTACATTACTGGTTTTAGGGGTTGGATAAATGCTTGAAAGCATTGGGATGGTAAAAAAAGCAGAATTGCTGGGTAAAAACCAGGGTTCAGTAGTATCAGTCTGACGACTAACCAATCAAAAAGTTCCATTTGTTAGCGCTTTGATTAAAATTGACCGCACTGCATATTTCATTGCTAAATTAACTCTATGATGACTTTTTAACTTTCATTAATTCTGAGCACTTCTCTATGGCTTGCCAACATACTTTTAAGTTTCACTTATTGGCCCCGAAGTCTTTTCACGGGCATATGGTTGCAGGAAAATCCCACTGGCTGTATAAGCACTAAGTTGGCATTTTTGTAAACGGAATTAAGTAATTCACTGCATCGGTTAGGTAATTTCTTTGTCAACAGCAACTTTACCTACACCAAAATCTCAGCAATTTTCTCAATTAATGTTCCAGAGTTGGCACAATACTTTGCACAATAATTTGAAGGAATATGTAATTATTGGACAACCTGATGGATTTGACGTTTATCGGCCCTTACGCATGGCTAAATATCGATTAAATTAGGCACCGGAATAGCATAGGACAGCAATGGCTTGATGCGTAAATGCTAACTCTGTTCATGTCGCAGTTTGACTTACTGTTTGTAATATGGTCGCTATAAATGCCAACTAAACTACTAAATAAGTAAACCTCAGCTTTTTTTACATAAAAACAAACGTTAAACACAAAAAAGTTAAAAAACATGCATTTCCGGCTCGCTATTTATTAATGTGTGGACTTGTACAATTTGATGCAATTGTTGTTAAAACGTGAAAGTGAATGCACCTGAAAGTTTGCCGCGAAGAAGCTACTTTAGACTTCTTTCAATGCAAATGCCCAATCCCATTGTGTAAACTTACGTAGTTTGCTGATATTCAGGAACTGTGCGTCACGTGTCGAGTAAATCATACACGGTGTAACCTTGATGAATCGGTATCTTCCACTGAGTACGGAAAAAAGCCACCAAAATGCACAAAGTTCGTCTGAATGAAAAAGAATCATAGAATAATGGCGCCGATGATGTCCGACATGTCCGATAATGTCCGATTATGTCCGACAACACAAGATTACCTTGAACTGCGCTGAATTTGAATTTTGGTAGCATGCATGTCAAATATCAGTTGACCTTCCACTGAATGCTAAATAAAAAACACAGCAATTTAAACAATTTTTTCTGTGAATAAGAAAGTATCTTGAGAAGATGGCATCAATTAATAGAAATTTTCTAGCATTATCAAGTTCAACAATGCAAGACCCCTTTCGTCGTCGCTCACAGTAATTTTGAGATTTAAACATTAGCCTTGAGATTTCTACATTGCCTAGTCTATAATTTCGCCTCACTTACTCTGTCAGTTACATAGCAGAACCTTCATTATTTGACAAAAGTGAATTCGCAATTGCCGTTGAGCCCTCCATCATTCTGTCTAGTTGAAAAGTTTGTCATCGCAGAAGAACACGCAACAATGACCCATTGTTTTACTTAAACAACTATTAGTTCATTTTCATTCTTCAGTGTATTCATGCGTCATGACTGCCCTTGGTATTGTCGCGAAAACCTTTTAATTAATCGTTATTAAACGGTGAAAAATGATGAAATGAATGTGCTGTTCTTGACAAATTGACTGCTTATCAAGTCTCAGAGTGACATTAGGACCCTTAACTAGATAATTTCACGGTGAAATGCGCAGCAAACAATCACAGTTTGTCTTAACACTAGCCTCAATAAACAAATGAATCCAGCCAACCTTAGAAAACCCTTTTTAGCTGAGCCTTTTACGTGATGCTTACATTGCGTGGTTTGTTTGCCTCTAACTTGTGCACGATTAGAGATTAGCACTTACTCTAATTGGTCCAAATTTAAAAAAGACAGGTCCTTCATAATCCGTGGTCAGGGAAATCGGAGACAGTAATCTGGACATTTTATCGTCAAAGTTCCTTTTTTAAAGCACATGGAATTAGCTGAATTACTACCTGCTTTTTTAGCCCGACTTTAAGCACTTAGGCAAAAAGACACTTGTGTGTTATTCGTCGATGTCAAATTAAAGTGAAAAACTGCAAATTCGCGAATTTCTGAGTTAAAGCCGTGAATTGTTATAACTACTTGGCCTCGCAAGAGACATACATACCCTGGTTCACTCTCCTGATTACACAGCAAACTTTTAGTACCTTTGAGGTGATTATTGGTTAACACCTCCCAACCAACATCCCCACTGGCCTTACGACGTACAGCAGATGTGCTTAGTTGTATAGCCTCACCCCCTGGGGCATGATCAAAGATGACTAAACAAATTGTTGATCATGATACTTAAAACACTGCAGTCCGGGTCCAACTAATCGACTAAAAAGGCTAAAAAGGCGGTAGATCCAAGTCACCGCCTGCTAGGCGCTTTCACGGTTGTGTGTTCAATGTTTTTGTAACTACGACAGTAAATCCCTTACCCTAGGTCTACACTTTCCTACAAACATGCAAAGACTATCGAACCTGTTTGAACAAGTCGGATACTTGCTAGGCTCTACTGAATCAAAAAATTTAGTACTGGTAAATCCAGTTTCACTTTCATCTTCTAATGCTGTTTAATGGAGCAGGGTAATTGATGCTACCCGCAACAAATCGTGTTTCTTGCCTGGGGGTTAACTTTGATCCGAAGGGAGATGAAATTGGTAAATTAGTGACGCACACAACTACTTTATGCGGCACTGTCATTACAACTTTGTGTAATCAATGTGTGAATATAGTGTAACTGGAGAAGGGAAATTTCTTTCCTTCAAAACGCACACATACCTGTTTGTAAGACAGTCAAAATCGCAAACTTGCTGATAGTGTTGACAAATCTCTGAGGTCTCTCTTTATATGAGGTGCTTAAATCTAAGATTGGTGGTTGATTTAAAACGACGAATGCAGTTTTTTTAACCAAACGAAATGGAAATGCACAATTTTAGGGTTAATTGTTACCAAACCTTTGATTGAAGTTCAAGATTTTAAGTGAAATGTGGCGTGCTTTTTGAAGAACAACGCCTCTGCCTCCTAAGATGTGACTAGCACCCTAAAAACGCCAACTGGTCAGGTTTTAACATGGGTTCACCATTTTTTTAAATTATACTCGCATATAATCAACTCTCCGCGTTAATTTGCCACTAATATTCTGGACCAGCTGGTAGTTTGTTTAATTATTAATGCACTCTTTTAAGCTCTGTTGTGGCTTTCATCCGTCCCTTCGTCTTGCAAACAAAATCATGTGTACAGTTGTGCAGGTGATTGGAAATCTGGAATGAGCCTTCAGCCAATAGCGCTTGTGGATGCCCATATTTCAATTTGATTGGTTAAAAAAGCACTCCTTGTAAGAGAAACAGGCTCAAATTGGACCGAATAACGGCTTTATTGAAATAAAAAAATTACCTATTGAAAATAAATTT